GAAATTGATTTTCTCTTTAAATACAATTTTAACGGGTTCATAAATGTTAATAAAACATGCAATATAAACGGCTTCAAATTTGCTCCCTTTTTTTTGGTTTAACTAGCAGTGTAGTCACCATGCACCAATGCTTTTTTATGGCAAAAAAATATACTGGCGCGCTTAATTGGTTTGCCCTTTGTTGAAATACGGTCGTTTAAATTATGTTACTTGGACATGCGTATCACGAGAGTTTTTATGTCGTCTGATTACACAATAATCAATTACAATTAATTCGCCTCTGTGTATTAATTTACTCAACTGGTAAAAATCCAGAGCTCGAATCTCTGGACGGTTAACAAGCCCCTTATCCAAAGTCAAATGCTTTTTTAACTTTTTCTTTGTAACTGAAAAATTGATGCTCCGTCGATCACAGGACCGGATAATTACTGATTAGTTCACACGTTTTCCAAGATTACTTCTAGTAATTAACTAAAGCATTTTGTTACGTTTGCTTTACGCAAATGTAAGAAAATTACCTTGAGATAAGCACACGGTAAGCTCAGGCAAAGCAGAGGTGGGTCGGAGAGAATATCAGGGTACTGGTACACACAAAAACGAAGCAAAAGGGAAATATAGTAATAGGAAACCGGATAGGCGCCACTTAATCTATAGTAAATTTCAAAAGAGGAAAGAGAATACTTACCTAAAGGGGCAACAAGGCAAACTAAGAGATCTTTCTGGTCTTGATAAGCTAAATAAGTAAAATAACTGGCAGGGGTAGAACATAAACAATAATTGATATCACAATCGAGGGTAATTTAATAATTAATCTCAACACATTACAAATATGTTACAGTTATTAACATCAAAACAGGCTTCCGTACAAAACAACGTAGCTGTAATTGTTATCGAAAACCAGTATGCAATCGACGAAAATTAAAAAAATTACCTTCGAACTCTGGTATAGCGACTTTTTGAGCTTAGAATCTGTAACAGAGAACAACCAAACAAACAAATAAGAGGGATAGTGAACAGCGCGGCAGAAAATATTGCGATATTGCCATTTTTAATATCTGACACTAGGTAAATCGGATACTAAAACAGTAATTAATACTCAATAAAAATTAATAATTGAGTTTACGTTAACTATCCAAAAGCAAAATTTTTACTCCGCCACGGATCATCCGTACAATTCTGTGATATATATAAAAACATAAACGTGACGTTAACTTATTAACGATGCAAAAATAACTAAATTTCTATACAACAGCAATGTAATCTAATTAATTTAAAATGTAAAGTATTATTTACAACACATAAGATAGTATAAGGAAATTCTTCGGAGACAAAAGTAACGTAACTAAAAATCGTAGAGACGTAGATATTGTTTCGGACTAAGCGTCGGTAACTTCAAAAACTAATTTACGAAACAACGGTAATGTGTAGGATACAGTATAATCAAACTAACAGAAATGAATCTTAGGAGTAAGAAAAGTAATCGTAAGTAATGTAGATCACATCGGGTCTCGATATCGGTAAGTTGTATTCTTTGGTAACGACAGAAAGTGATGTACGTAAAATCAGATATATCATTCGGAAATGGTACAAGTGAAACTGTTTCCGAGATATCGTCGATCTTGGAACTGTCGTTCTTGTAAATTCACCTTTCCGCAAACTAGTACAATAACGGGAGGTCCAGAACTGACGTTTCCAGGAAAAAATTCCCGTAGTTTTTTTCTCAACGATTTTATATGTATTTTGAACCGCTGAATCCGAATTTTCACTTTGCTAACACGCCAGAGGTGAGCTAACGGCGGCAGCCGCAAATAACCGCAAATCATTTACCGCATTTTTACATTTTCGCCTATAACTCAAAAACGGTACGTTTTAAAAGAAAAACTATTCTATACAAAATTGTAGTCCACAAAATTTTATACATTTAAAATGTAACAACCAAATCTGTAGGACCAACCAAACCACCGCCAGCGGCCGCGCCAAAACGACTACTTTTCGTGCAACTTTTAGAAAATGCAAAAATAGTGCTCCGACATATCTATTTAATATAATTTATTTTCAATCGGATATTCTGATTGTACGTTGAATTTTAGTGAAATTCAACTACTCACTTGTTTGTTGTTTTTTTTCACTTTGATGATTTTGCCTCATTTGCGGCTTTTGCGGTTAGCACATGTGACTTTTCAAAGTCAAAAAGTCCATGTAAATGAAAAACCAATACCACCACTTGATAAGAAATGAAAAATTATATTAAATAGATATGTCGGAGCACTATTTTTGCATTTTCCAAAAGTTGCACGAAAAGTAGCCATTTTGGCGCGGCCGCTGGCGGCGGTCTGGTTAGTCCTAGATTTGGTTGTTACATGTTAAATATATAAAATTTTGTGGACTACAATTTTGTATAGAATAGGTTTTCTTCTAAAACGTACCGTTTTTTAGTTATAGGCGAAAATGTCAAAATGCCGCAAATAATTTGCGGTTATTTGCGGCTGCCGCAGTTAGCTCACCTCTGGCGTGTTAGCAAAGTGAAAATTCGGATTCAGCGGTTCAAAATACATATAAAACCGTTGAGAAAAAAACTTCGGAAATTTTTTCTTGAGAAAATCCTCATATGACTGAGCTAAACCTGTTTCATTCCTTACTCACGTAGGTAGGTACTCGTTTTCACACACACAGTTACCCTAGCTACAGATTGCTAAAGGTTTATTTGAAAGTAACGACTAGGAGAGCTCATGCGAGAGTAATACACGTGTGAGATATTGCACGAATTTTAGTGCATGTCAGAAGATACTGCAGGAAACAGTCTATCAAAGCTCCACCCCCAATGCCATCATCTCAAGAGACAAAGTTTAATTAAAAATTACGAGGTAAAGTCAATTGCCAACGTGAACGCTGGCAAACAACAAAAACTGACTTGACTAATTAATTACAGCCATGAATATTCCTCTCGTGAAATGTTACAAACTACATATTACATAAATCGTATGTAAAAGTCGACTAGATTATTTTCTCGACTCGAGTGTTGTATAATTACTCGTACGTACCTATTCACGGCTTTATGCAATTAAAAACGCGCACAACACCCCTTTCAGTATTTATTATTTTCTAAATATATTCGTACTTCAAAACTCGCGTAAAAGCTCTGCATGTAGCATGTACTTACCTATACAGGTACATTTTTCATCCGTAAAAAGTTTCGCAAGTACTTCATGTCTGAAACCTTGAATTTTACAGCTTTATACTTTGTGCTCTTTTCGCCCAAATAATTCAATTCAGATTTTGCTTCTGATGGTTCCAATTTATTTATTTATAAATAGTGCTGCGAATTAGTAAAGAGCCCTCAATCATTTCACGTTATTTGCTGTACAGGTAGCACAAACAATAGAAGAAATTGGTGTGCAAGGAATAAAAGACAGGAATATAACGAAAACGTACGTGGGGAGGGGGTTGACGGTTAAAATTTTGGGGTAGTGAGACTTCCGTGGTACACTCATTTGCTGTTTTTGTTGCGTTTTTAGAGTGAACCAAAATGTACTCTTGATGCAGAAGAAGGTTGAGAAGTAAAATAATTAATCCACAATGCTACAAGCCCATTATTAATAAAAAATACACATGGGACGTTTATATAAATATCAAAAATCTAAACTAAATAAACAAAGAGAAACAAGTTAATATATAATTGTTTATTTTACACTTTCAACTGAATTAAGGGTTCCATTTCTTCTATCTCTCTACGAGTTCTTTTTCGCGAATTATGCCTAACCCGCACATTCTACGCTCTGAAGCCGACACCCCCTATGACGCGAATTTTTTCTGCTAAGGCTGCTGCTACAGTTGACTGCGATCAACAAGCGTGTGCATTATTATGGTCGGTGTTTCTTGTGAGAACTCAGGTATAGCCTGGTTAACTAATCGCACGGATTAAAATCAAGTAACGATTAGTGTCTGTGTCTGGTGAAGTTATGTAGGGTCCTAAAAAAAATAAAAGAAATAAATAAATAAAATAAAAATTCACACCCTCACACTGGAAATCTAGAGATAGTATGTATTTCATACTTACCAACATAGCTATTGATGAGCACAATAGCCAACGCTATCAGGAAAGAGGAAAACAAAACAAACAAAAAAAATCATTATAATAATTCCTGTAATTTTATTAAATGGAGTTTATTGTGTAAGTGTTTCTTTGGCTTTGCGTTTGGGTTGAATACGAGGGGGTTGTGATAACGTGGTGTGTTTCTGTGAAGAAGGAGTTTTGTGTTTTTTAATTGTATTTATGGTGTTTCTTTGTTCCTGAGGTCGTATTTGTGAGGTTGCTTGGGTTTTTGGTGGAGATATTGCAGTATTTTGTGAGCCTGTGGTTATTATTATTATTATTATTTGGACAGCTTCGGCGTCTACCATTAAAACTTTAGGTTTGTGTCTTTTCCAATCAAGTTTTATTATACGCACGTTATAAGTTTTAGATTATTTCCGGAACATATTTGTCATAATTTTGTTGAAAACTAAAATAAACTGGGTGAAAGACACGCAAACTAAAATTTAACTTTACGAACAAGCGGTTAAACCTACGTTGCAATTATCGCTGTAATTGGTTATCTAATGTCTACAATTTTCTCTGTTTTTGTTTAATCTACAAAATTGTGTAATAACACTTCCTATATGAGGGAGGTAATCACTTTTTAGGACCTCCTGAAGCTAAAACAACCCCCTACAAGTCTGTACACGTTTATGTATGATAAACGTTGTTTTGAGATACATGCAGTCTCAGTAAAATAAATTCATCAAAATGTGTGTGCTATTTTACACTCTCCCTTAGACATCAAGGTCCCTTGCAAAAAGATGGAAGTATCGATTTTGTAATCCATTATTCATTTATTTACCTTACTTACTATATAGCGGTTTTCTCAAAGTTTCAAACTTATATTAACGTCCAAGGAAAGTGAAAATGTATTCTTTTCACTGAATGCTGACTGTAATTCATTTTTGTCAACAGGTAAACGAATGTGATGAGGCTTAATATGACAGAAACGCTCATAAGCGCGGAAAATGTTTCACCGGTCACTTTAAGTGGAGATTGGTCGAGAGTTGCTCGTTTACTTACCCTGGCATCTTTATCAGCTGTCGGCAGTATTGGAAACGTATTCATGATAAGTGCCGTTATGATTGATGATTACCTTAGAAAACGAGGTGAGTGCCTATTGATTTATTAGTTTGATATTCTAGACATTTCGGCACAAGGGAAGTATCTCCCTTTTCGTGCATAAACTTGCGCTTGTATTCTGAGAACAAATAATGTCGGAAGAGTAACTGTAATGTGAACCATCAAACTTGTCCAAATGCGAATTGACATTTTTGCTTTTAGCCCTTTATTTATTCACGCTAAACGTAAACTAAATTTACGCCTTCTAGACCAAACAGTTGAAAATGTTCGCAAACGTAGCTCCCACAGGATTAAGGGAAGAATCTATAAGAGAACAGAGAACACGATAGCTTGTAAAAAACAATTTTAAATATTTAAAACATCATCATCCCGTCGTTGACCTCGGGAAAATTTCCCCCCGTTAACCCAATTAATTTCTTCTCTCGTCTTAATGTAAGTTTATCAGGCAAGACCGTCATCAAATTGGTATTTAGTGAAAATGCGGAAACCAAAATTAGCTTCTTGCGTCAATATTTATTAATTCGTTTCGCGAGGGGATGTTTTAATTAAACGGTTAATAATAACACAGGTTGATATCAAACTTAAATTAGAGCGAAATTGGCGCCTTTTCCGCTTCGTTTCATAACTGCGTTTTCGGATATAGGCCCGTTTATTAAATTTCATTCGTTGATTGGTGGTATAAATTCCCATTTACCGGCTTTATTATCTTGGATAGAAACTGATGTAGGTACAACATTTATTTTGACTTTTGTCGCCCACTTTGAGATGGTTAGTGGTCAGTCATGAAATTTGGATTTTGATAAAGAAACATATCTATCTAAGTATAGCGTCATATTTTGAACCCTGAGATCTATATGCTAATGTAACATAAGAACGCCGTGGTGTGGGGTGGAACCGGAAGCGAATGTTCGAGAGATGATGCGTGACTGTTCGAAAAATAAAATAACCAGCCCTTAATTATTTCGAATCTTAAAGGGTGATAGTAAATGCATAACAGATATTGAAAACTGTCATGTTAAATTACATTTTTTTTATCATTAATTATTACAACTGTATACCATTCAATTCTTGCAAGACTTGTTTATTTATTTAACCACAGATCTCATCAAATTGAGAGCCCAGTACTGCGCGAATTAATTTTTGTTGGAATTCGTTGTGAACGATCGTAACGGAAGTGTGTCGTGTGCTTAGTTTTAGTAGGAGAACGTAGTTATTATCGTCTGGGTTATTTCCTTCCCAACCCCTTCAGGTTCCCCTTGCCATTATCGTAGGCTTTCTCCACGTACATGCTTACATCGCGTTTTTTTCACACGTTCTGCAGGCTTCTTTCGCATCTCATTAATTATTTGTTCGCTTCCCTTCAAGTTTTTCTCGCGCCACCTTTGTATCTCCTTCTTAACGCTTTTCTTTCTGATTTTTTATACCACTTTTATACCTCTTTAGCAACCACCCTCTTGCTTTTGGACGCAACGCCTTAGAATTGCGGCGAATTTCCGAACAAGGTCTTAACTAGAGGTTAAATAAACTAGGACTAAGTGGGCATCCATGTCTTAGTCCTTTACCTGCCCATAACACTTCAGTCTCCTTCCCTATTCTTAACCTCCTTCTCGGCTCTCCGTATAGTTCCTTGTTTCTGTCTTTCTTGTCAATTTTCCCATTTTCCATCTTCTTCCATACTTTTCCCACTTCCACTCAAACGGTGCCTTTGAGTCCATGAAAAACGCGAACAACTTTCCGCCTTTTTTTGCAATTCATTTTCCACCAATTTGTGTAATTGTCGATCGTCCCCCCCCCCCTCCTTTCCTCCAAAGTGCTCTTCTCTTCCATTTCTCTTTCTACTTTCGTTCAGTATTAGTGCATAGATTCTATACGCCGTAGTCATTATAGTAATTCCCCTATAATTTCCCACACAATCATCCTCCTCTTTTTCCTGCTTTTCTTGTAAATAGTAACTTGACAAAATGTTGTTTCCATTCCTCTAAAGTCTGTCTAAAATTGACGCGAAGTAATAAATTATAAGTTGGTGAAATAGAAATAGTATTTTTGTATGGAAGTGCTTCTCTATCTCTGTCTAACAAGTAGATTTATTACTTTGCGTCAATTTTAGACAGACTATAATTGTATTCCCCACCCACTTGTTCTATTTTTCTTTTTCCCTTTGTTTATCGCCTTCTAAATTTTCTTTCCTGTTTTTATTTCCATGATTTCCTCTTCGTCTTTTTTCTGTTTCTCTATACTTTTTTCTTTACATTTTTTTGGTCCTTTTTTCTGTTATCCCACCTCTTTTTCCTCTATTGCCTTCTTCTGTCTTACTCCAACATTTCTCTATATCTATTTCTCTCTTCTGTACCCTTTTTGTTCCACCACTCTCCTCTTTTTTCTATCCCCTATCTTTCAGTTATTGCTTTTTTAATACTCTGCTTTATATTATTCCACTCCTCTGTATTTTTTCCTATTTTTTCTCTTTGTTCCTCTAGTCTCTCTCTGTACAGCTCCACTATGCCTCTTGTGATGTCCATAATTCGAGCTCCCTTCGTATTTGCGTCTTTTCATTTCTTGATCGTCTTATCTTCCCTTTTAGACTTAATTCTACCGGTTGGTGATCCGATTCTAGCCTTGTTTCTACCTTAACTTCATTTCTTTTCTGATAATCCCAGTAACACTTCTCCCTTTTTGTTGCACTCTTTATCTCTTGATTTTCTATCTTCCCGTCTACCATATTTTATATTTTATTTTTTAAATCGTTTCTTTTTCTCTGTTGTATATTGTTATCAGTTAACACTCTTATTTACTTCCTCTTCACTTCTACTTATCTGATTTGTATTCCTTCATTATCCTTGTTTCTACCCCTGATAATATCCTCCTTTTGCTCTTTCTTTTAAATTATCCGTCTTCGTATACTGGTTCTTCCATACGTATTCATTTGGAATCCCATTTTTTTTTCTCCCAATTCTATTCTCCTATCCATGATTCTACCATCCCCACGACTTCACATCCTCTTACAACGCCCTAGAAGTGAGCGTCTTTGCCAGCGACCCCCGCTACATTCCAGAATATCATCCCTTGTCCATTTTAATTCGTTTTTCTCTTTTTTTGTCGTTCCTTCCTCTATAGTTTATCTTCTCTTTTGCTGTTAGTTTCTCCCTTCGAAATATATATCTAATTGTCTTTTTTTTATGGGCGAGGTTAATATGTTTCTTAAAATGCGACAGAAGCAAATGCCAAACCGTACTACAAACATAATTCCCTACCTTCCAGATAGTCGTAAAGAAGTTTCTTATATACAAGGTGACTGCTTCATTTTTGCTTTAATTTTCAAATTAATAATGGCGGATTTCTAAGAAAACACAAAAATTAGAATATCTCAACAACTTTTCACAATCGTAAAGGCATGTTTGGCTAAAGCAAGTCTAAATGACCTCTATTAACATGTCTTCCAATATACAGTGTGTTCATTTGAAAACTTCCCACCACGTATTTATTGAAAACCACTGATTAAATGAAAAACCACCGAGACACCTCAAAATATTTGTCAAGGGGGACAATTTTTTAACCAAAAACTACTTAACCTCCTTTCACCCTCTGCCCCCCCCCCAGGGTCGTTCCCATAAAAGTCCTAAAGTTAAAAAGTGGTATCGAGTAATAGCTTGTTTGAAAGGTCTTTTGAAGTCCTTTATTTTGACGTTTGATTTTTGAAAATCGGTAGATTCCTTTTCGAGAAAATTAGAAAAATCTTAATTTATTTAATCTGCCTATCTTAATTTGTTTGAGATATAAAACAAAAACAAACGAAAATATCACTTGTTCGTTGCTATGGGAAAGAAAGAATTGCTGTCAGTTCCTTTTGGGACAATCTTGGGATAGTGAACATTAATTTATTGATTCAGATTTTTCTTCCAAAATGTTTCTAATTTTCTCGAAAACGAATCGACCGATTTTAAAAAATCAAACGTCAAAATAAAGGACTTCTAAAGACCTTTCAAACAAGCTATTACTCGATACCACTTGTCATTTAAAATTTTTATGATTATGGGAATGACCCTGGGGTGAAAGGGAGTGAAGTCGTTTTTAGTTAAAAAGTGGTCCCCCTTGACAAATCTTTTGACATGTCTCGGGCGTTTTGTTCTTTAATCAGTAGTTTTCGATAAATCCGTGGTGGGAAGTTTTCAAATGAACACCCTGTATATTGGAAGACATGTTAATAGAGGTATCATTTACAGTTGGTTTAGCCAAACATGCCTTTACGATCGTGAAGAGTTGTTGAGATATTCTGATTTTTGTGTTTTGTTAGAAATCCGCCATTATTAATTTAAAAATTAAAGCAAAAATACAACCTTTTTCTGCAATACTTCAGTTTCCCTCATTATTAGATTACACATTGGCAGACATTCTCTATCAAAAATTATGTTAAATACCCCGATCTAATAAAAATACAAAACCTAAAATTTACACTTGTAAAGGAAACTTAGAACAACCTGTACATTCACACGTAGTTAATGACGTGATATCCTGTATATCAGAACAATTTCGTTGTACCTCCATGTCTTTAGATTATATCTTTTGTGTAAATTATTTATTTAGATTTGTTGTATTTAATTGTGAAACGTGAAATTGCGTGTTAAAATGTAAGGACATCTGGCTGTTTGTGATAAGACGTTTTGTTATCGGACCTACATTAACTAACGCTAGTGTTCTGCTGCTGACAACAAGGGATGCAGGTGGTCAACGGTGTCAAATTGACACGCGTTACCATTGACACTGTCAATGGGAACGCGTCCCTTCGCAGATGTCGTTATCTAATCTAATTGTAATTAGCGCATTGTTTGTAAATACCGGAGGAAGGGGATTATTCTATGATGGAAGTGGTGTTCCTTTAAATACGCGAGACAATGTAAAAAGCGAGCTTCCGTTGTTAGTTCGCGACGGTGAAAAAAGCGTGTAAATTGTAAAGTGTATATAAGAAGTTAAGCAGTTGGGGCTATTGCAATCATGGACAATTTGTAATTGATAAACTGGTCAGTTATAACCACTAAGGTTTAACCGAAAATCGATCTCATTTAATCAGTCACTTATTAACTTTAGTTTCGCATTCGGCAACATTTCTAATTGCTCATCTTTCAGGTAACGCATTCCTGGTGAACGTCGCACTCGCCGATCTTCTAGTATCCGGTTTGGTCGTACCAGCCTCGGCCATAGTCATACTCGCCGGTCTCCAGGACAATCTGGTCGTCTGTCGCTTCCAGTGGTTCTTGGCGGCCCTATGCTTTCTAGTCACCGTTTTATCTTTGGCGGCAACCTCAGCGGAAAACCAGGCTCGATTGTGCAGTTCGACGGCATTCTACGACGCGCTTACACCAGGTAGAATTACCACCGTACTTCTGCTATTCTGGGCGTTATGCTCCATTATTTCCGGATTACAATTTGCGAAGGATCTATCGTTTGATTACTGCACACGAAAGTATCCAGGCTTAATTCCATATCAGATCACGATAGCTGTAGTTTTTGTTTTCGTTCCATTGACTTTGTCGTTTGTTTGTTATATAAGGACGCACTACAACGTACGTATCGCCAAAGCTCGGCCAAACTTTAAGCCCCCCGTTCAGTTCAGCTGGGATTACGGGTTAATGCAGGCGAATATGTACAGTTTGTTACTTTTCATTGTATTTTGGCTTCCTTTTGGTGTCGTATTAGCGGTCGGTACCGTACGCACAATTCCCGATAGCATTTTTTACAATTTCGCGTGGCTGGCCATAAGCAAATCGTGCGTTAACAGCATGCTGTACTGTGTTGCGAACCGCCATTTTCGTAGCGCTTACATTAACCTGTTCCATTATTGCTGTTGCAAAACGACCGTCTCGTTCTCGCGCAGGCAACGTCCCGAAGGGGTGAGACCATCGGGCGATGTTCGCGTGCACATCATTCCCGGCTATAATATGTACTGTAGTCCCCAACGGTGCCGTGAGGGCCAGTCGAAACGATCCTCGACGCGCCCAAACGGAAGGGACATATATGAATTATGATGAGACGATTCCTGCTCGGAGGGATGCAGCCGTGGCGTTTGGATTTAGCCAGAGAACCTTTATTTTACTCACGCAGTGATGAGATTTTTTAAATGCCCGACCTCTAACATTCCTAACGTGCTTTCGTTCGTACAAAACTAGGAAACGATCAGTATTTCCATTTTAGATTATTAGTTTAAGCGCTTAAGAAATTATTTATAAACATATAATAGTTATCATCGGGTGAGCCATTTGCGTTTAATTTCCAATTTTATGTTAAGTTAGACTTCATAGCGCTCTTTTTGGAACAAAGGATCATACATAATGAAAATCGTGCTGATGATGTATTCAGTTTGATGCGCAAGGGATAGTGCTTCAATGAGAGTAAGCTTATTTTTTCAATGGTCACAGCCACATTAAAAATAAAGGCAAACAAAAAATGCTTTAGACCAATGTCGCTCTTTTAAAATAAAACCAATAAGAAATTCAAACTTGGAATCGCGGATGTCGTTGTCGATTGCCGATGTCTCTTTACTTTAGAGAAATGATACCTCCACGTCGAAAAATAAGCGTAAAAGGAAAGATAGTGTAAATTTCAAACGATGTGGTATTGCATTGTGATCGAACATTACTTGGTAATAATACACACTGCTTTCCAAGCTCAATCCATTGTATAAACGCTTCGTCTTTTGGCGATTTATCTCATGTTTACCTACTGTGAATGATATTTGTGTTTAATCGGAAGAATAATGAAAATTTGTCTTTATGTCACGTTAACGGAAGTAGAATAATAAAGTATCACTGCTCATTTTAAATTAAAACGATTGTAGAAATCATTTAAAATACAATAAATCAGGAAATGTGTGTGCTTTAACTATGTATGTGGGAAGAAGGAATAATTCTGGTATTTTGGATTATCATTTTTATCCACTTCCCGGTATACATATGTATAGAACATGTAAATACAATAATACATTTCGTAGACCAATTCTATAACTGCAATCGTGTCATTGCTTCGGTTGTGTACTGCCTTTGGCTAATAAATTTTATGATTTGAGTTTCCGTAGGATTGTGCTTTAGTTGAAGACAGTCCTGCACATGTATATGTCAATTGACTTACTCAAGTCGCAGGGGTTTGTAGTTATGGTTGAATTATCTGCAAATTTCCCTGTATATTAACCGCATTTGGTAGGCCATTAACGTAGGTATACCTACCCAGAACAAAAGTGAACCAATGACTGATCCTTGAGGTACGCCAAACATGATTGGTTCTATGTTCGTCATTTTGGCAAGTGATTACTGAGGTAACAACTAAAAAGTTTTAAAGGCGTTTCTCGGATATTCTAATATCCTAGTTTGACTTCAAGTGTTGTTCAATGACATTTGTTTTGTGTATATCTAAGTACTTCCGGTTAAAGGTACTTTGGCAAGGACCTACAAACTGTATTATTACCTAATAAATGACGTCAGACGACAGCTCTTTTTAGAAACTCTTCCTGAATTGAATTACACCATAATTCGTAATGGTCGTCACTTGGAAGATCGAACAAGATCTTCAAGATTCCACAAGTTTGGATGATTTCTATCAATCCCCTAAAGGATATGGCAAATCAATTATGACTATTCTTTTCAAACCCATTTCCTGCTTCCTTTGTGAAGATCGTGATCGTGGTATCTTACAAAGGGTTGAAGATTCTCTCAGGTTCGTGGTGTAAATTCTTCTTCAAATTTCATCATGTTGTTATATTGAAGTACTTTTGGAACTTACCTTTTTGTACTTTTACTTCCAGCCAGCTCAAGTAAAAATAGTTTGAGCATAGGAACGATTTAGTTCGTTTCTATTTCATTAATATTTCATTAATTGTTCATAATTTGTAACAAAAACTGGGAAAAATACTAATTTAAAATGTATACTCTAAACGTTTTAGAGAGTTTATGTAATTTCATGCCTCTCTTTGACACAAAAACTCTTTTTACTTTCCCTTTCGTAAAATAGCAATAATTCCAAAAAAGTAAAGACATATTAACACAGTCCGGTAAAAAAACGCAAGCTGGTTAATAATCCAGCGCTGGAGTGAGAAAACAAAGCGCTGGATTATTAAAATGTCCATTTACCAATGGAAAATTTTATAATTTCGACATAAGCCTTTCTATTTTAGCACTAAACTTCTTCTCTTTCACTCACTTTTATAATTCATTTAACCCGCTTTCAAAATGACCAATTTATGGCGCTAATTGTTGGATACAAATCGTAATATTTTCAAGCTTTTGCTTTAGAGTTTACGTGAAAGCTGTCAGAGCGAATTCCTTTCTTTACCGCAATTCATTTGCTTATCATGCTAATTTTACGTACGTTAATAGATGCATTGTTAACTAAATGTACCATTTAAGTTAGGTACATCGTAAAATCCAAATTTTCATCTACTGTAAAAAGAAATTGATTGTTGAGTACGAATATGGGTCGCGTCAAATCCGAAAATCACGTCGAGTTTAGGACCACTGCCTAAACTTTTATTTTCTTTCCTGTGTGATTCTGAACATATTCTTTAAATTCCTTATAAAATTCCTACTGCTGGTCCTTGGATTTCAAAAAATCTCAGTCTGATGTAGTCATTCTTGAAAAGTAACAAGTCTGTAGAACCATCATAGTCCATAGGACCACAGATATCGACATAAATGAGTCCAGTACATGATTCTGGTCTATTATTACCCTTCTTAAAGGCTTAATGCGCCTGTTTTTCTTTGGAACACACTTTGAAATAGCTCAGATTTCGCAATTTTAAACCCGAAACCGCACCTTCATGCATGATTTTAAGATCTCTATAATTAATGTGTCCGAATCACCTATGCAAAATGTCACCATTAGCTACCGAGCTGTCTACAAAGATGGTCCGTGGACTTTTCTTACTTGTAAGTATAAGTCTACAGGGTGTATCTTTTCGAGCGTGATTCCGCATTATTTTCTGAGTAAAAAAGTCTAATAAAAATTTTCCTCTAGATTTCACTTTACTTGCTAAATTTCGAAGCATTATCGTGTTTATTAGGGCACTTGTTCTTGTAACGCCCATGTTAAGCGCATCGGAAACACTTTACATTTGTAAATTTGCCTTTAAGGGTCAGCTATCTCACATTTAGAACCGGTGCTGCCATTCCGGTTGTGGGCCCTCAATTTGAATTTAGTCGTCTTTTCCTCTTTTTCCGCGACTGCTGCCTTCATCTTGTATATCTAGCAACTTTGTCTTTATCGAATCTGTAGTTATATCCATTCCGCTATGCTCTATCTCAATGATTGTAGCGAATCACTCAGACGATCCCGCTAGTAATAACGAGCCTACCCAATTATCCTCCATTTTGAAGCCGGTGTTCTTCAATTCTGTAGCCATAGGAAGATAAGGGTTCTTAACAAGTTTTCTAGTAAAACCAGTACCTACCAATACATACTTTTTAAGTGTGTCTCCTGTGCAATTTTGGCGTCTTTTATGTATACGTAAAACGAAGCATCCAAAGTGAGCATCAATTTTGCTTTGGCACGAATGCCCCCGTTTCAATATCCGATAAAAACCTAAAAGAATGAAAGTTCAAGGGGAATTATAAAGAAGCAAAAGTAATTAATTGCAAAAGGTGTATTAGCCGAAATCGGACAGTGTCCGAAATTTATACCCACAACGCGTTGTGAGCACCACAGTTTACCCAGAATGCAATAAGAGTAAACGTTTCCGATTAACGGTTAAAAAAAAGTTGTGGGTATTTTTCTTCACCTTGATCTTGTTTTGCGTTGTAGGGGTATCTCGCTTTTCTCACTTCGCATTGCTTGTAATACAAGAAGTACAGGGAAATGTTCAAAAAAGTGCAAAAATTTTGCGCTTTTTTGGCTCTCAAATCTGACGCACAACCTAGAAACCGTCACAAACTCATATACCCGTTATTCAGGGCCCCTTAAAGGGGTTAAAACGATTTCCAGCTCTCGAGCAATTTTTAGGGGCTAGACCCTTTTTTAGCACTTATATGCCTGGGTCATAACGCTTTTAAATGAAATCAGTAAACGGAAAATCCAACTTTGTTCACGAAACAACATTCCGCTATTATATAAATAAAAATTTACTCTGAATAACATTTATTACGCAACGAGACATGGGCCAAACGAAAATATCCACAACCACGAAACAGGAGCACTTGGGATTGGGCTTCGGATTGTGGGTCAATAAATATGCCCAGAACGCGTTTTGGTTAATTTCTTTTAACTATTCGTCGGAAAATTAAACTCTTATCGCATTCTGAGTAAACCACAGGCGCAGTGTCCACAAGGCACTATGGTTATACATTTCGGCTATTGAGAATAACATATACATCTGATTGACTTCAAACAAGACAATTTAAACCATGGCCTAAATTAGGCCATGATTTAAACAATGTTTTAAATATCCTTTTAAATGTGTTCCTTTTCAAATTGTAACATTAGCTCATTAAGTATTATTTTTGAAGAAAATGTAGGGGCTGTTTCCGTATCTTTTTAAGTTTAAATATAAGGAACGATATTTTCTGGTGAAATTTGATGGAAGTCGAAGCCCTTTCGCAAATTTTAGGATGAGAATGATACTTGATTCAATCAAGCCGTGAAATGAAGAAAATTCATGGAGTTTCTTCTGTAGATTGTTAACAAGAGAGTGTAAGATGCTTGAAACCAGAAACTTGGATTATTAACAGCTTAGCTATAAATTCAGAACTACTTATGTGACGCGAAATTATTAAATATTCCTTACAACGAAAGTGCAATTTAACATATGGTATACAAATTAAAAATTAACATAAATACGACCTGCAACAATAACAGGGAGGATACAACGCCGTACGCAAGATAGCCTATTATTTCTTCTCAATCCAAAAAATCTCTTTTGTACTAGTTGTTGATTTTTAAATTTTAGCAGCCATTAGTGGCCAAAGACTCCAGTGCTTTTTAGTATTTACTGGCAGACCTAAATCGACTAAAATTCGATACAAAAGGAAGTGTACAAAGGTTTCTTACCGATATCCTATAAATTGGAGACTTATTTTTTGTTACTATAGTTTAAGGTTGTAGGTATATAGCGGGGTATTACAGCTACTTCTTTGAAAGCGAGGAGCTTATAAGAATGTGCACGCGAATTACATTAAAAGGTCACTAACTCAGAGGGGTTGGGAGTATTTTTGGAGAGTTGAGATTCGCGCATATTTGTCAAGCGTGCTGCAGACCTTCAATAACGTCATCTTCGGTGCCAAATTTGAATTTTGTTCCTCTGAAATATTAACTTGTAAAAGAGCGATAATACAATGAAATTAGTCTCTTTTTGGAGCGAAATCACTTGCAATAAGCTGCACGTTCCACAATTAGGCGTATTTGCCCAAAACATTATAATGGATCAATAAAACCTGTCCTGGCTTTACTCGAAGTTTTCCCATTTTGTCAACGTATTTAAATAAATCCATATCCATTAACCGGTCTAGCTCTAGCTACACTTAAGGGGAGACTTTCCCATAATTAGCTTAAATTGTATGTGCTGCCCAACTTATTAATTTTGGTGATGGAGTTATTTATAGTGGTTACCCCCTTTGTTAATTTGCAGTCGGCTGTCTTGTGTTTGAAGGAGCTTGAAAGTGAAATCCCTATCCTTTGCACTCGTTCTGAGTTGATCTCATTTGTTGGTTCGATAAAAAACCATTTGGTGCATTTCTATAAAGGCTCACCCGGTGTAATAAATAATGCATCCTGGATCCTCTTTATTAATGTAAGGCATATTTCTCGCACGCCTTTCCCAAGCTTTAATATTAATGTGAATATTATTATAAAAAGAAAAAGAAAAATTTCTGTAAAAGACTGATATGCGTGTATTGAATAGGTGTACCTTACCTAAAGCTGCGTCCACAAATTGATTGAATTTTTTTATAATAAATATAAAGAGGTCATATCAAAGCAAAACAAAAGCACAAATTAACGTAAATTTTTAATTTGCTCCGTCCACCTAGTTACATTACTTACTGTCCCTTTTCACACATTATACGAGTTTAGGATTAATTTACGCAATGATGAAAACGTGGGATCCAGGTAGCTGAGGCAAAACTTGAATGGAAAAATGTGTCAGTACCATAGAGACATTTCGGCTTTTCACACAGTATTCCGAAATCCGTACAGGAATGCGAAAGTGTGTGGACCTAAAAACCCGAGTGCCTATTGAATGCTTTATTATTTTTAAATGTAGACAATACTGGTAATCTATCAAAGAAAGATATGTATTTTGTGACTAAATTCCACTTTAAATCGACACGAAATTTACGACACAGTTCCATGATGCGAAAGTGTTTACTTATAGTTAGAAAAATGTAACAAAATTTTTGAAAACAACATTTTTTAAAATGTTGCCTTCTTCCCAACTGTGATCTCTCTAACGAAGCTAGAACATAATGTTATTATTATAATAAATAATGTGATAGGGGACCACTGATGTGTGAAATGGCTTGTCGGTGAAATGTGATTGCTTCTGCATTTTACTGTATTTCGATTGTTGTTTGTTGCGACTTTTGATGAGAGATAAAAACACATACAATTTCAATCGAAAAAGTTCGATTGGGCAAACAATGTTATACGTAGCGTACAGTAAATAACCTAATTTTCCAAAGTACAAAGTTATGGCTTCGTCGCATTAACGGAATCAAAATTCGGTTGCCACTTTACGCTTTATGCATAATTAATAGTGGGTAACTAGGCGAAGACGTAAAAGGGCCGTAAATGATGCAATCGGAAGCGTCAAACTTATAAAATCGATAAAGTCGGAATATCGTACGTTTATTAGGAATGTGAGAAGTATCCAATCATCTACTATAAAATTTGAATATTCAATTGTATACTTCTACATATATTCTAGAATGTAAAGATGACACGTTTAAAAACTACTGTGTTACATGATTCATATGCAGTTTGGAAAGTATATCCATTTCCGAGACGAGAGCTAGGATACACAACACATTCATGTAGACGCACCTTAAAAGCTCTAGCCCAGCTTTCTTCAAATTGACACATAATTCAATGACAATGTGAGATTACAAAAATTTATTCTTTTACAAGTACAAAATCCTGTAATAAAAATTCTAAGGTGACATAAATCCTTTTTGTACACTACCCGTCCACAGAACAGACATAACAACGAAAAAAAAAAGAATTCAAGAGATCTCAAGAAATAAAAAATGAGTCCAAACAATATCCAAATTAAGTTGATCTACCAAAGGAGACGCAATTACTGATAATACCTTTTCACAAAAACTGAAAGCTTTTACAAATTCACATTTTTTTGACCCATTACATCTTAAAAAAAATTGCATTAAATTTGGCTGACCGGGTAATTACAAAAATTTAAAACAACTTTCATAAACTAGGCAACGACATTATTTCGTTTCTTAAAAATCCTTCCAACGGCATACTTAACTTAACCCTCCCAACTAACTACGTTTTTCTAATCGACTTGAAACAAGGGTACAAAATTTCACGTAAAAATGACTTACGAACGCGTTTAATATAACCCTACTTATGTTACTACACTTATTCAAGCATTCACAACCTCCACTCTTTTAATCCGCATCGTCGAAACCCGAAAAGCCAACCCTGTCAACCCTCACATGCGTACGCGTATCGTGCAGGTTTATTTGATCACGCCCGGTCATTTAGTTTGCCCGATAACGGCTTTACACGCACATTTATCCAGATAGAACTACTTTCTTACGTCGATTTCAAAATTCAAATTAAATGTTTCCTTATTTTTGCGTTCCCTGAATTTCTGACACTCATCAAATACAATTACAACCCTTAGATGATTTACACAAATCCTAAATGTACAATACAAAGAACTAACATTACAATGACCATTAAATAGAAGCCTCAAATTCCGTATCCACTTGACAGAGTTTCCCTCAGGTCCTAAACAAATAAATTTCAACATTGTACAGAACGTCTTGCCTGGAACTTCTAATGCTAAACCTAAAGTACGTTTACACCACGTAAATTTTCAACTGTGGGGTGGCTCGCTCTCAAGGTCTGCAGTTTTGCAACCTATAGAAACGAGACCCTTCTGCAGTTTACACAATACTTTCCACCTTCCCTACAAATTGTTTTGTTTATAACTATTTCCAAATTTGATTATTTATCTTGGGTTTCATTTTTCATCAGGATTACTTTCGGAATGAAAGTATACTTACTTGGTTTTGACATCTTAATATATTGTAAATTTGTGACTCAAATTACACGCTAATTCTTTAAAATTCCGTAGGATATTTGATTCGTGTGAAATAATTACGCTAATGAAGTCTTCTATTATACGCACTTTGAGCTGTTTACAATAATTTTTTCCAGCAGCGCGAAAACGCCCCATTTATTCCTTATCATTGGGAGGCGAAGAAAAACGAGAACGTTTTTCCATATATTTCATTCATTTATCGCGTATTTTAAAAGTTAATCGATTGCAGTACTATCCATCACTTGATGAGTTGCAACCGCAGCACAATTCCATAAATTTAATGAGTCTGAGACGGTCCTGAATATGGCAGCATTTTTGCCATGTTTTCTCTCGTGTAGCAACTTACCCAATCTTTGGACGGGATATGTCTAGCCCCTTCAAGCCAAAACATGTGCGCCAACTTCCAACTAAATTTGTGCACTGAAAATGTTATGCCCGCTTTTTACTTTAATGATCTCCCTTGAACGACTCTATCTATTCATTTTTCCTCCGAATGATCTTCACTTCTGGCCGAGGTGTTTTTTACGCACACAAATGAGCTTTAAATTAAATATGGCGATACCCAATTTTTATTGGTCAATGACTTTTCTTCAACCAATCCCGAACTAGTATTAGTGCTGACCCAAGGTTTGCACAATGCACAGTCTGATTTTTCGTTATGCTGATCTCATTTATCTAGGTTAAACCCTCATTAAAACGGCTGTGATATAATCCCTAAGCCTGTCTGGAAGGCACCAAAGGTAATTAAAAGAACAGAAACCCATTGATAATGAACGTATCGAAATTATACGCATTGCACATGTCACATTGTCTCCAATGAATGACACGTGCAATATTTGTCTGAGGGGCTGTTCTAGAACCTTGACATTTTTATACAGATAACCACTTTTATTTCCACGTATTTATGCGGGAAAAAATTGAATCACATAATCTAAATCCAAATCGTTTGAAATTTAAAAATAATATATTTGAAGAAAGTTAATAAACAATTTTCTTTTTGCAAAAAAAGATTTTGTGTTAAAGTAGAAGAGCTCTTATCAAAAAACAAATAATCAATCCTAATATGGTTTATGCCGACGTCGCGACGTCGTGTTCAAAGCTCAAATCAATTGTGAGAAAACGGAGTGATAGAGAATAGTCTTTTAATAGGGGTACAAAGTGATAATGTAGAATAAACAACAAAAATAGATATGAACAACGAGACATTAAAAGGAAAACAGAATTGAAATGAATAAACCAATACACAAAGTTTCAATATTTTTGAGTTGTCATGCACACGGACCTACAAGACGGAAATTCGAATTTTCTCGTAGATACTGCATGCGAACCTTTCCTTCTTTGGGCTGGAACCAGCTCGCTCATTTGCATGTTACAAGACTTTCTCGATATAAGTTCCTGATACGCACTCGCATTTAACGAAATTCGAAGAGACATACTTTGGCAAATTAGCGAATCTCTCGTACCCCAGTTTACAAATCTCCGTTGCAAAACGTCACAACAAACAACCCCCGAAATACAGTGCATATATCTTATGATGTTTTTTTATAAATGTACTCGTATTAACTGTCCAAGTTCACCAGAAATATACATGTAAATATAAAAATATATACATGCTGTTCTACATTTATGTATAACTATATGAAGACAGTACTATAGCTGTTTATGTGTTCATTGTGCAAGTCTTATTTTCTTATTGTGATTTAAGGTAAAGGTGTATATAATAATTAAGTGTGTAAATATACTATACTACTGTACCAATCATAAAGCAGATCTTAAAAGAGTCATTCCTAAGTTTATTTCGTTACCTTTCCTATAATCGCACATCATCTGCTTTATGAATAGTTTTACGTTTGTTTATTTTTTCCTCCCAATCGAGAGGATATAAGCGGTATTCTAAATGGAAATATGTATTATTCTTGTACTATATAATATAAATGTTGTAATAAAAAATTGAGAAAGAAAAAAAACGGAAAAAAGATGAATTTTAAACGAACCTGTTGTACACTTTTGAATAATATACTCTTTCAGTTACCGAGATGCGTGAGCTTACTGTCGCAATAACTTTATGTGCAATGTCATTGTGGATGTACATTTTGTAATAAATTTTATAAGTTATCGCGGTTGTTTGCTTTCATTTTGACATTTCCGTTATCGATTCTAAGTGGAAATGGCGGTAAGTTTAGTTTCTAGATTGGCAATGATGCTAATGCATTGGTTTTCTAGGAGAAATATCCCACATCTGTATTTTGTATTATTGCTACGGAGTTCTGTGAGAGATTTTCCTTCTGTGGATTGCGCAGTAAGTAGTAAAGGTCATAAATCGCATACACTGTATCTTACTTCCTTTATTACCTACCTCACGCAATAACCGACTGCCATTTTATGTAACAATACACTTTCGAAACTAGTAACACCACCCTTAGATATAAAAAGGGCGTAAATGTAATCAGTTTTTATTGATACTAAACTTTGTTTTCCAGCAATTTTATCCCTTTATCTCCGGAACCAGCTTTTATTATCGGAGAATACGGCGACGATCATTTATCATGTATTTATCATGATTTGCTACGTGGTGCCCATAGCCGGAGCCGTTTGCGCCGATAGCTTTCTTGGACGTTACAGGTGAGTTAAAGCTTTCCACTTCACATCAAAACGATAATAATCGCCTCGTGTTTAACGTTGCAGTTTCATGATCTCATAAAAATGTATATCGTGATGTAAATTTCCTTCGATAAAAGATTACATCACGTTTCCAATTAGATTTTTAACGATTTTGGGAGGATCTTGTACCTTTTGTCTCTTTTTCAGGACTATTCTGTACTTTTCCTTGATCTATCTTGCTGGAAATGTTCTGATGTGTCTAGCGTCGGTGCCTTCTTCGAATACATCTCGTATGTAAGTAAAACTTTAATTAACCACAATACTTTTTGGGACGAATTTGACAGACCACGGTTTCCTACTTTCAATACATAGCACGACAGTAGAGTGCTATACTGTACCATAGAGTTTCCAAAGCAGAGGATTTAGGTACACAATTTTTCCTACCCAAAACAAAATTTGTTTTTTTGCTTGCCGATAAGTGGTATCTTAATTCTACTCATAAATAGGACTTTAGTTCCCAGTCTTTTGCTGGGGTGTATAGTCGATATCCAAAAGTGTAAGGACGAAGCTTAAATCGGTCGATCAGTACCGCGAACATTCTACATGACAAAATCAAATTTGTAATAACATAAAACACTAGGTAATAGTTATCGGAAAAGAAAAGTTATTTATTTTCCGATGCTGTGGTAGATTTTCCAAATTTGGTGTCTATCATATAAAATTCTAGCATCCAAACGCAGTGTTACTGTACCTCCGAACGGGAAAATAATTTTTAATCATGTTAATTTCCGTCATGCGTTCAATCTCTCAATCTACATTAAATCTATGAAAATAGAATGGGAATTCCGCACGACAAAGGCTATAACATGGGTATTTTTAATTCACACGCAAATTCTTGGACAAGTCTCGCTTTCGTTGAAAAAACTTTTCAATCCGGGTACCTGCATGTAATGTACTTATTTTACCTGTTTGTTCCAGTGTAGGCTGACTAAAAATGTTTAGTGATTAATACCTCTTTTGGTCGGTTAGATTGCAGCTGGCTTTCCTGTATATAAGGGGGTTGAACCTCTCTTCTTGAAATATAATTGTGATTTTCTTTCGAAAATGTTTTAGCAAAATAATTAACTGACCAACGCCAACGGCTAGCTCATAACACAAATTTTACTATGATTGGATTTACGGAAGATTTCTACTTTCCTGAAAATTGACTTTAAACTTTGACTTTCTTACTCGCTTGCTCGCAAAATCAAACATAAGATTACCCCTAAGTTTTATATTTATTGATGAAAAAATGAAATAGTGGAAGAATTCCAAGTTACATTTCCCTTCACAGATTTTACTATTTATGAAATAGAAATGAATTACGGTTCGTCTCGACCCAGTTATAGTCCAGGATAAATAGCTCTAAAAGAATTTATTTTAAACAAAAATTAGTTACCGGGCGAAACCTGGTTTTTCAGGCTGGTGAAATGATTAGAAATTGGGAAAAAGTAATTAAAACAGCTGAATTTTTCCGTGGGTGAAATCCCGAGGGTTGAAAGAGGTGGAAAGTGGTGTTTTGCAAATTGTAGGTAGCAAAACTATTAATTTTAGACGAACATGTTCAATGTAAAAGTTACAGAGATTAAAAAAATGAGCAACTTTTGGATCTACACCATTTTCACATAGGCCTACAATTTTCCTAGAAAATCCGGAAAAACTGTTTTTTTCGTTTTTTATTCTTATTTTTGCGAAAAAAAGTCCTAGGGGTTTGAAATTTGGTGGTGGTGGTGGTGTTTTATGATAAAAAAGGAGATAATTTTTTGGGCCGGTAAAGTTAAACCGTGTCCAAGATCTCACGATTTCTGAAAAAACCACTTCTTTTTCAAGGGGATGAAAAATCTATTTCTTTTCATCGTACAGAGGTGTGCGGGGTAGCAAAATTTTCGTAAGGACTTACATTTTAATAATGAAAAATAAAAAATATGTTTCCAATAGAAAAATTTTAAGAAAAGCGGCCAAAACTGGGGAACAGTTTTCAGATATACACTGTTTTTGACATAGTAGGTAAATAGTTTTTTTTGCAACTAAATTAACATATTGGATCCGCGTTAATAAAAAGTTTTTGAAATTGAAATTAAAACATCTTTATTACACAGCTGCAGATAGGTTACGCGTATACCACTCAAATTTTGTATCAGTACTTAAATATGGTATAATCATTTGGGGAGGCTCCGCGCAAATGCAACGACTATTTAAGATACACAAAAGACGACCATTAGAGTAACCTTTGACTTAACGATATACGGATTATACATAATATGAATGTATAAGCTTTTTATTTAAAAATTCGCCATACTTTAGGACTAATTCTCTCAACCATCATTACCTATCACGAGAAATAAAATAAATTATAGAATACCTGAATAGCACTTGTCATTTTTTAAGAGGAGCACCTACTACAATTCAGTAAAATTCTATAACCATCTTCCAGAAAGTATTAAACTGATTAGGGATATTCACGAATTTAAAAGAAGGTTAAAACAATTTTTAATAAACATGGAACCCTATTCCATATTTTCTCGAATTTTTGCTATAGGAATAATATTTTTTTATTTTTGTTTATTAAAATATAAGTCTTCCCGAAAATTTTGCTACCCCTCGCACCTCTGTACGATGAATGAAAATAGATTTTTCATCCCCTTGAAAAAGAGGTGTTTTTTTCAGAAATCGTGAGATCTCGGAAACGGTTCAACTTTACGGGCCCAAAAAAATTGTCTTCTTTTTTATCTTAAAACAAGCCATGTTTACCCAAAATCGTCCTGAAACCTTTATTTTCATGCCTACTTTCTGTCAGGAAATTTTAGTTTCTATGACAGAGGCAGAGCAGACGACATTTCCTGTCACTTGTCACTTTACTGGCCGCATCTGTCACTCTACCGGCCGCACCGTCACTTTACCGGCCGCATCTGTGACATTGCTAAATGTCTATAATAACTCCTGTCATTACTGACAGATTGAGATGAATCAAAAGTTCTATATAAAAATTGAAATTTTATAAAACCTCTCGCCAGGAAAGATTGCCGGTCACAGAAAACCTGATCCCGGTTTACAATCTATGTTTTTCTAAAGTTGTGAGCGACTTCCGGGATAGGATCGTGCCAATGTTGAACGAAAAGTCTTTTCGTTCAACATTGGCACGATCCTATTCCGGAAGTCGCTTGCATCTTTAACAAAACATAGATTGTAAATTGACACAAGGTGTGCTGTGACATTACCACCTAAATAACAAGGCCTCAGTGCTCTGACGTCAATAGCTTCTGACGTCAGCTAAAGAAGGCTATGCTATTGCGCAGCCACTTGGCGCAATTCAGTCTTGCCTGCGGCGGTTGTCTGTGTAGTAACGGTACAGCATGTAGGTACATTCATTTACCCCTAATATTGACGTAGATCTAGAAACGATAGAAAAAGAAAGATAATTACAGTTTCATACAAAATTTAAGCCGTGGACACTTGTTGTATCCACTTGATTCGGTAGTCAATTTGGTTTTCTATAATTATTTTATTTTCATTAAATTGCTACAAGATTTTGAAGAACAGTTTTTAAATGTGTATGACAAACGGAACTTCGTGACACAGTTAGTTTTAAAATATCTTACAGAAGAGGGTTATCTGCTTTATTTTTGTGGATGTCAGGATCAAAGTGAGGAAAGAATAGCGAATATTATAATTAACTCAACAACGAATACCTTGCTTAAAAATTATTGTGGTAAACGAAATAATCGATTAAAGAAAGGTAATAAAAGCAGAAAATTAAGCACGTTAGCAAATAAATAATATTAAAATTTATTATTGTGTTAAATATGTACATTAAAAACAGTTTTATAGTCATCAGTAAGATTATTAAGATTAATTTTTTATATTCCACATTATGGTTTTTGCTTTGAAATTTCGGTTTCCATTATAAAAAGTCGAATGGGGTGCGACAAAGGGCTCAGTTCATGACTGGCAAACCCGTTTTTACAGGAAGCCCATTTTTTTTAATTATATAAGTACATAAATGAATGCAATTCAACGTCAATGCACTACTACGGCTGGCCTGCTTATGGTGACGTCACGTCGGAGCGCGGAGGCCTTGTTATTTAGGTGGTAATGGCTGTGACCGGCAGTCTTTTCTGGCGGGAGTTATAATAAAATACGATTTCGGGTAAAATTTAATACAAAACTTGTCGGTAAAATGACATTACTTGACTGGGAAGGCCCGAAGGGGCCTTGCACTTCAATATTTTCTCGCCACAGTTATATTGAACATTTTCGCCTAAAATTAATATTTTCAAAATACCAGTTTCCACCCCTTTCAACCCCCGTGATTTCACCCTCGTAAAAATTCAGTTGTTTTAATTATTTTTCCCAAATTTCTAAATATTTGAATCGGTGATATCCATGGTGTGGTCGGCTCGTGTCGTACCTTATTTTTAACAAGTGTTAGGGAAATCGAAACGTTTTTATATATTAACCCAGACACTATGTAACAATTTTACTTGTTTTAAGACTACGAAGATAGAGTTTCATAACCTTTCACGGGCAGCAAACACTGTATTCTTCCACATTGCTATGTATGCTAACGAGCATATCTTGGTGCGCTTAATTAGTTCGTCCTTGATCACGTCTACGGATCTGGATCTCCTATATGCGATGGAAAGGAGCTGTTCAAGACAGAATAAATACGAAAAATCTCCCTGTAAGGATGCCTTCTATTCTTCTTCATTAACCATCACCCACAAAATGGCTTCTTATCCATGAAACATGAAACACGGCTATCTTTACTTGCTGATTCGTTTTCTTAACTTTCCACTTGCACTTAAATAAAAGTTAAGGTACTACAACAATTCCCACGTACTTCTCAAATACGGTGATTCCGCATTTCTCACACTCTCGAATGACCTCACGCTTATGCAGTGATTTGTAGTAGATAAAGCCAACACTTTAGCTCTAGTTACTGCGACATTTCGTCTCCAGACATCCGTAACCTACTATGCTAAAAATGCTCCACAGAATTTTGAGTCGAGTAGGAAAATCTTTAATTCCACCTACAGATCTATACTTACAGTTTCACCAGTTAAATAATTTATTGAAAATTCTGCCTTCTACATTTCGACAACCTGTAATTTTTGTATGACATGTGATGCCTAAACTTGCATGCCTTTGAATCTTCAAAAAATCCAAATTTAGAGCCACCGTTACAAGATTTAATAACCAATTGGACAATGAACCAATAGAAATTTCGACAATTCAAACAAATATTTTTCACAACC